TTTTTTTTTTTCCTTTGGTCGGTCATGGGGCTTGAACTCTGCTTGGGCGCTGTCCTTGTGCTCTTCCGCTCAAGGAGAGTGCTGTACTGCTTGCGCCACAGCGCCACTTCCGGTTTTCTAGTGGTTTATTGGAGATAAGAATCTCACTGACTTTTCTGCCCGGGCTGGCTTTGAACCTCGATCCTCAGATCTCAGCCTCCTGAGTAGCTAGGATTACAGGTGTGAGCCACCTTCACTTGGCTTATGGTATATATACTTTTAAGAGTTCTTTTGGAAGTCTGGCACCCGTGGCTCATACCGGTAAGCCTACCTACTCAGGTGGCTGAGATCTGAGGTTCCTAGTTCAAAGTTAGCCCCCAGTCCAGGCAGGAAAGTCGGTGACACTCATATCCAATAAACCACCAGAAAATCGGAAGTGATGCTGTGGCTTTAGTGGTAGAGTGTTTGCCTTGAGCTGAAGAACTCAGGGACCCAGGCCCAGAATTCAAGTTCCACAACTGACAAAAACAAAAAAACGAATTCTTTTGGAACTGTAAAGGTTTGGTTGTATGTGTTTGTGTCTTGTTTTGTTTTTTTCTTGGTCCTGGGGCTTGCCCAGGTACTGTCCCTGAGCTCTTTTTGCTCAAAGTTATGGCTCAGTCACTTTGAGCTACATGATTCCACTTCTGTTTTTCTGGTGTTTAATTGGAGATGAGTCTCACGGACTTTCCTGCCAGGGCTGGCTTTGAACCGCGATCCTCAGATGTCAGCCTCCTGAGTAGCTAGGATTACAGGCATGAGCCACTGGTACCAGCTAAGAAACTGAAAGTAGGGGCTGGGAAGGTGGTCAGTGGTAGAGAGCTATCCTTGAGCTGAAGAGCTGAGGGACCCAGCTCTGAAGAGCATCCAGGCACAGAGTTCAGGCCCCACGACCGGACCCCGCCCCCCCCCCCAAAAAAAAGAAACTAAAAGTTTTAAAGCCTCTCCGTAATACGGAGTCCTGGGGTGCAGCCACGAACACGTGCAAGTAGCGGACGTGGCTGCCATGTGGTTGGTCCGGAAATGCTAGGTTTCCCTAACATCCGTGTAAACCTATGTGCATGCCATTACCTCACATTTCCCCGCCCCCCCCCCCCCCCCCCCCCCCGCCCGCGCCAAAAGTCGGAATGAAAGTTCCGGGCTGTACTTCCAGTAGGGGGGGGGGCGGGACAGCAGCCGCGGGGGCCCTTGGGAAATGTAGTCCTGCTGGAGGCCTAGTCAATTCCCCGCTGGCTGGCCTCCAACCCGCCAACGCTTTCAGGCACGCTGCTCCCAACCCCCAACCGGAGCCTGTGTGGCAGCAGTGTTGTGATTCAGTTGTCTGTGAGGGAGTTGGGGGAGGCAGTCCCGAGCAGCTGCTGTCCGCTGTCCAGTGAGGCGCTGTTGGTCTCTCAGATAACTGTACAGTGGCCAGTCTCCTGTCTTCCAAGTTTGAAAAAGCCAGCGAAAATGTGTTATTTCTCATTTAATATGTAGGTGAAGTAGATATTCTCAAAGATACTGTGTGTGTGTGTTTAGGGGAGGTGTTTTCTGTTTTTCTGAAACCACACATTTTCTGATTCGGGCAATCTGTTTATGTTTATTAAATGCTCCTAATTTACTATTCAGACTATGCATTATGTTTTAGCTATCTCATATTTGTTAATATTTTATTTTTTTTAGCGAAAGTGTAGTTTTGGATTTGGAGCTATCAAGTCAGCTGAATCGCCTTTAGCTGTTTAATTACAACTGGATCAATATCCTTACCTGTAAACTTCTATTTTTCTGGCTATGGATACTAAACCTTTGACTTCCCACTCACCTCTTCTCCCAAGCCCTTCATTGAATATTCTTCTCCCTCACTCCATTCCCTACCTCCCAACCCCTCTTCTAGCCCTCTAATCTCTGTTCTCCCTCCTCTTTCCTAGTTTCTCTCTTATTCTTTCCCCTTTCCTCACTATACCTACCATCTCTTCTGCCCTCCTGCCCTCCCTTTAAAAAATAAAAGAAAAACTCCAAGTCAGATGCAAGAACGCTTAAGTATAAAAAATAACCATGTTCTGAGGATATAGCTCAGTGGCAGGAAAGGGACTAGGTTATATCAGTAGCAACATTTCCCCCCCCCCCCCCCCCCCCCCAGTCCAGGGGCTTGAACTCAGGACCTGCCTGGGTGCTGTGCTATCCTGAGTTTCTTTTATACAGGGCTAGCACTCTACCACTTGAGTCACAGCTCTACTTCCATTTTTTTTTTTTTGTAGTTTAGTGGAGCTAAGAATCTCACAACTGGGACTGGGAAGAAAGAATCTCACAACTTTCCTGCCCAGGCTGACTTCAAATCATGATCCTCAAATCTCAGCCTCTTGCATAGTTCAGATTACAACATGTATTTATTTATTTATTTATTTATTGGTAGGTGGGTCGGTTGTAGGGCTTGAACTCTGGGCCTGGGCGCTGTCCCTCAGCTGTTCAGCTCAAAGGTGTTCCTGCCCTGGCTGGCTTTGAACTGCAATCCTCAGATCTCAGCCTACTGAGTAGGATTACAAGCATGATCTACTGGCGTCCGACTAGGATTACAACATTTAAAAAACAAAAACAAGTGGAGCTGTGGCTCAAAGTGATATAGAGTGCTAGCCTGGAACAAAGAGCTCAGGGGCAGTGCCCTGGCCCTGACTTCAAACCATATGACCGACAAAAAATAAAAATAAATGAATACACAAAAACAGCCAAGCCGGGCGCCAGTGGCTCATGTCTGTAATCCTACCTACTCAGGAGGCTGAGATCTGAGGATTGAGATTCAAAGCCAGCCATGGCAAGTTGCTAAGAGTCTTATCTTCAATAAACAACTCAGAAAATGGGAAGTGGTGCTGTGGCTTGAGCTGAAGAGCTGAGGGACAGCGCCCAGGCCCAGAGTTCAAGCCCCATGACTGACCAGTAAACAAAAAGACAAAACAACAACAACCAAAAAAAGAAAAAGCCGAAAGTGGTGATGTGGCTCAACTTGTAGAGTGCTAGCACTCAACAAAAGAAACTCAAGGGCAGTGCACAGGCCAGACCCTGAGTTCAAGCCCCAGGATTTGGGGGGGGGGGGTGGGTGGGTGGGGGAGGAGCCAGAAGTGGAACTGTGACTCCATTGTAGAGTACTAGCCTTGAGAGGTGGTGCTCAAGGACAGTGCCAAGGTCTTGAGTACAAGCCCCAGGAGAGGCATCAATTCTTTTTGTCACTTGTGAGGCTTGAACTCTGGGCCTGGGTGCTGTTCCTCACCTCTTCAGCTCAAGGCTAACATTCTACCACTTGAGCCACAGCACCACTTCCAGTTTTCAGGTGGTTAATTGGAGATAAGAGTCTCTGGGACTGCCCGGGCCGGCTTTGAACCGCAATCCTCAGATCTCAGCCTCCTGTGTAGCTAGAATTATAGCCACCAGCGCCTGGCAAAAATAATTTTCTTCCCCAAAAAATTTCAACAGAAAATTTGGAAGAGGCATGTTGTAAAACGTTATGTTTTCCACTTTATTTTATTTTTATTTTTCGTCTTTTTGTTGGTTGTGGGGTTTGAACTCAGGGACTGGGTGCTGTCCCTGAGCTTTACTGCTCAAGTCAAACACTCTACCACTTTGCACCACAGTGCCACTGTGCCACTTCTGCTTTTCTGGGGGTAAACTGGAGATAAGTGTGGGAGTGGGTGGGGAGGGGGCTGAGAAGGTGGCTCAGTGGTAGAGTGCTTGTGTTGCATGCATGAGGCCCTGGGTTCGAGTCTCACACCACATAAACAGAAAAAGCTGGAACTGGCGCTGTGGCTCAATTGATAGAGCACTAGCTTTGAGCTGAAGAGCTGAAGAGCTGAGGGAGAGCCCCCAGGCCCAGAGTTCAAGCCCCACGGCCGACCAAATGAAAAAAAGAGTGTCAGGGACTTTCTTGTCCCCACTGGCTTCAAACCGTGATCCTTAGATCTCAACCTCCTGAGGAGCTATGATTACTGGCGTGAGCCACCAGCACCTGGCTTCCCCCCTGTTTGTTTGTTTGTTTCTTTCTCTCTCTCTCTCTCTACCTCCCTTCCTTCCTCCCTCCCTCCCTCCCTCCCTCCCTTCCTTTCTTCCTTCCTTCCTTCCTTCCTTTCTTCCTTCCTTCTTTTGTGGGACTCCAACTCATTCAGCACCTGACCCTTTTGCTCATTGGTTACTGCTTTACCAACTGAGCCATACTTCCAATCCCTTAGCTCATCTTTCTCATCTTTGTTGGATAGATTCTAAAAATCTTTCCATCCTCATCTGTTTAAATCTTGTATGTATCAGATTGATTCATCATCATGGTGCTACAAAATGGTTTCTTTTGATTCTTTTTTTTTTGGTCTGGTTGTGGGGCCTGAACTCTGGGCCTGGGCACTGTCCCTCAGCTCTTCAGTTCAAGGCTAGCGCTCTACCACTTGAGCCACAGCGCCACTTCTGGCTTTTTTTGCTTATGTGGTGCTGAGGAATCGAACCCAGGGCCTCAAGCATGCAAGGCAAGTGCTCTACCACTGAGCCACAATTGATTCATCATCATGGTGCTACAAAATGGTTTCTTTTGAACCTTGCCTGTATCTTCCAAGTTGAGGTTGAATATCATCCTAGTAAGTTTGTATAAGCATATCTAACCTGGAATGAACAGGAAACGAGAATCTCAGAGAGAGGAGCCATTTTGGTTTTGAAAGAAAATGGCTGCAAATAATAGTTATTTACCAGAAATAGGTGGACGAAGGACAGATGGAGATACCAACTTACCAGCTCATTGTCTTAAACTGCTTGGAATATTCAAGTCTGTGGTATGGGGAGCAAATGGTTTTCTGAGCAACTTCTACTTGGATTTTTGAGATGATAAAGGAAAAACCACAAAGTCATAATGCCAATAAGGTGATATGCTTTAGTATAACTTTGGAATTCTGCTACATGGATCTTTAATTTGGACAATTGTCATATTAGTCTTTTGGTGGTTTGTTTTTGTTAATAACAGTCATGTTTTCAACTAGGCACCACTGGAATGTTCATCATGAACCTCTTTGTGTCTCCCTCCTGTGATTTAAGCTCAAGGTAGGGATCAGGTCAAGTACAACTTTATAATTCTCTTAATAATAAAGTTTTCTTTCTTTTTTTTTTTATTGTGAAAATACCATACAGAGGGGTTACAATTACATGGGCAAGGTAATGAGTACATTTCTTATCAAGCATTGTTACCTCCTCCATTGTTGTAATAAAGTTTTCTATTGATTTCTGGAGATATATTACCAAATATGTGTTTATGGATATGTAAAAACACTTAGAAGCTAGGCACAGGTGACTCATGCCAGTAATCCTTGCTATTCAGGAGCCTGAGATCTGAGGATCATAGTTCAAAACCAGCCAAGACAAGAAAGTCCATGAGACTGTTACTCTTAGTTAACCACAAAAAAGCCAAACGTGGAACTGGGGCTCAAGTGCCAACCTTGAGTGAAACACTTGAGACAAAGACAGGTCCTGAGTTCAAGCCCTAGTACCAGCATCTCCTCCCAACCCCAAATAAACAAACAGAAAAACATTGAAAGCATTCCTGAACCAAGACAGGGTAAATGGGAATATGAAGGGATTGAAGTTGAACTAATTTAGTTTTGGCAAGCTGGTTGAGGTGGGGGAAGGGATTGGTGGAAAAAGATTATTTTTGAAGAATGTACGACTACATTCCCCCACACCCCACTCCCTCCTTATGCAGGCATTTCACAGATTAGAGTTTGTCCTTACTTATTGCCCAATTAGGTCTTTCCCACCTATGTCCCTCAGGGATTAAGTAATTACAATTGCTTGTGGCAGAAACCGCTTGCAGGGGTGCATATTTTGGTGTAATAGTAGTAAGTAGCAGCTTTAGTTGCTCAAGGAATGGACTTAATGACATTTGAAGGAAAATGAAAGGAATGAAATTGATTAGCTCAAGTTAACTGAGATAGCTGGAAAGAAAAATATGTTGTTTTTTTTTGGGTCCGGTCATGGGCCTGAACTCTGGGCTTGGGCGCTGTCCCTCAGCTCTTCAGCTCAAGGCTAGCGCTCTACCACTTGAGCCATAGCGCCACTTCTGGCTTTTTTCTTTTTGCTTATGTGGTGCTGAGGAATTGGACCCAGGGCCTCAGGCATGCAAGGCAAGCACTCTACCACTGAGCCACCTTCCCAGCCCCATATGGTATGTTTTTGCTCATGGTCAGAATCTAGGTTTTGTGTGTGTGTGTGTGTGTGTGTGTGTGTGTGTGTGTGTGTGTGTCTTGTATATCTATATAGATATACTTAAATATTTACATATACCTATAATATACACATGTATGACTTGGGAAGAAGGGGAAAGGACAGGGTGAGTGAGGGATGGGTATGTATTTTTTGTATTCGTCATGGGTCTTGAGATCAGTGGCTGGGTGCTTTCTCCGAGCTTTTTTACTCAAGGCTTGTGTTCTACCACATTGAGCCACAGTGCCACTTCTGGTTTTCTGGTGGTTAATTGGAGATAAAAGTCTCATGGACTTTCCTGTTCAGGCTGGCTTTGAACTGCAATCCTCAGATCTCAGCCTCTTTTTTTTTGTTTTTGTTTTTTGTTTTATCAGTCATGGGGCTTGAACTCTGGGCTTTGGTGCTATCCCTCAGCTCTTCAGCTCAAGGCAAGTGCTATACCGCTTGAGCCACAGTGCCACTTCTGGTTTTGTAGTGGTTTATTGGAGATAAGAGTCTCTCGGACTTTCCTGTCTGGGCTGGCTTTGAACCGTGATCCTCAGATCTCAGCCTCTTGAGTAGCTAGGATTACAGTGGTGAGCTACTAATGCTCGGCTGGTTATTTCTTTTTACTTAGGGCAAGTAATAATTTCTGGTGAGAACTGAAGCCCAGAGTTTTGTTCTTTTCCCTATCAATGTGAGCCATCAGAGAGTGGTAAGTTTGTTAATTAGGTTTTGTTTACTTTCAGAGGGTTGTTTAAGTCAGGAATATGCAATGGAGGTTCTTAGACTGGTGGACATAAAAAGCTCACTAAGGAGGGGCTGGGAAGGTGGCTCAGTGGTAGAGCGCTTGCCTTGCATGCCTGAGGCCCTGGGTTCGATTCCTCAGCACTACATAAGCAAAAAGGAAAAAAAAAGCTAGAAGTGGTGCTGTGGCTCAAGTGGTAGAGCGCTAGCCTTGAGCTGAAGAGCTGAGGGACAGCGCCCAGGCCGAGTTCAGGCCCCACAAACGGAAATAGAAAAAAAAGCTCACTAAGGATTGAGTAGATCTTTTTCCCTGAAGTACTTGGGTTTAACTCAGTGTTTTGTGTTTTCTCAGAATATACTCTATAGTTCCAACCATGATTCCAATCCTTACCCGCTGTTAAGAGAAAGGGATATTGAAGTCGAAGTCGGCCAGGATTATAGGTGAGATCCATTGGTACCTGGCTAGAAACAATTCTTGCTCCCATTTTAAATGAGGTTAACTTGGGTTTGGTATGGTAGGAAGGCTCAAAGGAGTTTAGAAAAGTCATCTGCCTGGCACTTTGGCTCACGCCTGTTAAAAAATCAGCTCATATGGTAGTTGCACTTAGTCACTTGTGCTTCCACTCAAGATAACCTTGTGTGTGTGTGTGTGTGTGTGTGTGTGTGTGTGTGTGTCTGTATGTATGTGTGTGTGTGTGTGTGTGTTGGTACTAGGATGGAATCCAGGGCCTTGTACATACTTGGTAAATGCCCTACTGCTGGGTGACACCCTCTACCTCCCGTTATTATTTTATTTATTTATTTATTGGGGCTTGAACTTTGGGCCTGGGCGCTGTCCCTAAGCTCTTTAGCTCAAGGCAAACGCTCTACCACTTGAGCCACAGTGCCACTTCCCATTTTCAGGTGGTTAATTGGAGATAAGAGTCTCACAGACTTTCCTGCTGGGACTGGCTTTGAACTGCCATCCTCAGATCTCAGCCTCCTGAGTAGCTAGGGTTATAGGCATGAGCCAGTGGGCTCCTGGCCTCACGTTTTTATTATCTTTAAGAAGTTTTACAAAGCCCTCTACCTCGTTCCCCCTCCTCAGCCCCCCCCCTTTTTTGAGAAAGAATCTTTTTTTTTTTTTTTTAGGCCCAAGATTAGGATTTGAACTTGGTATCTAATGCTTTTGCTCTTTGGCTGGCACTCTACCGACTGAGCCAAGAGAGAATTTTATTATGCAGCTCAGGCTGGCCTTGAACTGGCTTCTGACAAAGGCCATGAGTGGCAAGGCCTCCAGTTCTTATTCAGATTTTTGTTCATAACCAGTGTTCTACCACTTGAGGTACTCCTTCACTTTCAGCCATTTATCCAGCCTCAAATTTCACATTAGCATCATCATTATGTTCTTTTTGTTGTTGGTGGTGGTGGTCATGAGGCTTGAACTGTGGTCCTGGGCACTGTCCTGGAGCTTTTTTGTTCAAGGCTAGTGTGCTACCTCTTTGAACCACTTCTGGTTTTTCTGGTGGTTAATTAGAAATAAGAGTCTCGGGCTGGGAAGGTGGCTCAGTGGTAGAGTGCTTGCCTTGCATGCCTGAGGCCCTGGGATTGATTCCTCAGCACCACATAAGCAAAAAGAAAAGCCGGGCGCTGGTGGCTCACGCCTGTAATCCTAGCTACTCAGGAGGCTGAGATCTGAGGATCGCGGTTCAAAGCCAGCCCGGGCAGGAGAGACCATGAGACTCCTATCTCCAATAAACCACCGCAAAACTGGAAGTGGCGCTGTAGCTCAAGTGGTAGAGTGCTCGCCTTGAGCTGAAGAGCTGAGGGACAGCGCCCAGGCCCAGAGTTCAAGCCCCACGACCGACCGAAAAAAAAAAGAAAAAAGAAAAAAGCCAGAAGTGGCGCTGTGCCTCAAGTGGTAGAATGCTAGCCTTGAGCTTAAGAGCTGAAGGACAGCGCTCAGGCCTAGAGTTCAGTCCCCACGACCGGACTCCCCCCCCCCCCCCGCCCCCCCCCCAAAAAAAAGAAGAAATAAGAGTCTCATGGCTTTCCTGTCCCAGATGGCTTTGAACCACAATCCTCAGATCTCAGCCTCCTGAATAGTTAGAACAGGCATGAACCACAAGTACTGGGCCTCCATTCTCAGATCTCAACCTCCTGAGTTGCTGAAATTATAGAGATGAGCCACCAGCATCTGGCTTATCCTTAGGATCTTTAGGACCTAACCTCCTTTTCCCATTCTCCCATTTTTGTAAAAGTGAGAGATGTGGAAAGCACCCAAAATTATAGCTACTTAGGAGTAGCAAATGGATTTGAATCTAAGGTAATACTTTTTGTCTTCTACCCAGTGCCTCATCTATATTCTATCCAAGTCCAAGGAGACTATGTAAGACCAGAATTAATTTTTTTTTGTCAGTCATGGGGCTTAAACTCAGGGCCTAGGCACTGTCCTTAAGCTACTTCACTCCAGCCTAGTACTCTTTACCATTTTGAGCCACAGAGCCACTTCTGGTTTTTTTTTGGGTCCAGTCATGGGGCCTGAACTCTGGGCCTGGGCGCTGTCCCTCAGCTCTTCAGCTCAAGGCTAGCACTCTACCACTTGAGCCACAACACCACTTCTGGCTTTTTTCTTTTTGCTTATGTGGTGCTGAGGAATCGAACCCAGGGCCTCATGCATGCAAGGCAAGCGCCCTACCACGGAGCCACCTTCCCAGCCCCCCACTTCCGGTTTTTGAGGCAAGAGTCTCCCAGGGACTTTTCTGCCTGGGCTGGCTTCGAACCCTGATCCTCAGCCTCCTGAGTAGCCAGGATTGCAGGTGTGAGCTACTGGCTCCCAGCTCAGAATGATTTTTTAATGCTAATTTATTTTTTTACAATAGCTTTTGAGTACTTCTCTGATAATGGAAGTTTCCATGCTGTAACATTTTATTATGCATAAAATCACCTAGGGTGTTTGTAGAACATGTGGATTCCTGCCTAGCAAAAAGTCTTTTTATTGATTTAAGTTTTTAAGATCTTCTTGCTCTTTTCACTAAGGCTTCTGACTCAGAAAGTTCACCAGTGCTCCAGGATGATTCACTGTTGCCATGGATGTCCTTGTAAAGCAGCTCGGAAACCTTGGTAAGTTGTTCATACTTTTTTTTTTTGTCAGTCATGGGTCTTGAACTCTGGGTCTGGGTGCTGTCCCTGAGCTCTTCAGCTCAAGGCTAGTGCTCTACCACTTGAGTCACAGTGCCACCCCTGGTTTTCTGGAGATAAGAGTCTCAAGGACTTTCCTGCCGGGGCTGGCTTTGAGCCGAAATCCTCAGATCTCAGCCTCCTGAGTAGCTAGGGTTACAGGCGTGAGCCACCGGTGTCCAGCTTTGTTAATACTTTCAACACGGTTCCCCAGTAGCCTGGTAGAGAGGAAAAGGGAAAATGATTGCCATGTGGCACTAGTCTTCTTTCAGCAGATAGTTATTAAGCACCTACTTAGTGCTGGAGCCCTTTCTATACACTTACAAAGTCCTGCTATTATGGAACTTGCATGCTTCTGAAGTTGGGCAAAGAAATAAATAACTAGTAAATGTACAATGTATCATGTTAGTAGATTTTCTTTTACCATGTGAACATGGTAAAACGATGTGAAACTTTATATTAAAAATGATTACGTTAGGGCTGGGAATTTGGCTTAGTGGTAGAATGTTTGCCTAGTATGCATGAAGCCCTGGGTTTGATTCCTCAGTACCACATAAATAAAAAAGCCGGAAGTGGTGTGGTAGACCATTAGTCTTGAGCACAGAGAGGCTCAGGCACAGTGCCCAGACCTCCGAGTTCAAGACCAAGGACTGGCAAAACAAAACAAAACAAAAAAACAGAAAATGTTGATATTAAACTAAGCAACATCTTACGTTTTTTCTTTCTTCCCAGTCACTTACTTTTTCCAGTCCTCGGGTCTGAACTCTGGGCCTGGGCGTTGTTCCTCAGCTCTTTAGCTCAAGGCTAGCACTCTACCACTTGAGCCACAGCACCACTTCTGGCTTTTTTCTGCTTATGTGGTACTGAGGAATCGAATCCAGGGCATCTTGCATGCAAGGCAAGCGCTCTACCACTGAGCCACCCCTCCCTCTGCCCCGCTCTACTCATTCTTGTAATACCCACCAATGTTTCAATACTAAGTGTGGAAAAGGTCATAGATGATGTCCTCAGTAGTCTGGATTATGGAAATTGTCAAGTTTTTTGTTGTTGATCGTGGAGCTTGAACTTGGGGCCTACGTGTTGTATTGTCCCTGAGCTCTTTTGCTCAAAGCTAGCACTTACCATTTTGATCCACAGCGCCACTTCGGTTTCTGGTGGTTAATTAGAAATAAGAGTCTCACGGGACTATCCTGCCAGGGTTGGCATTGAACTGCAATCCTCAGAACTCAGCCTCCTGAGTAGTTAGGATTACAGGTGTAAGCCACCAGTTCCTGGTGGAAGATAGCAGTTTTTGTTCAGTTGTTTCTGTTTGTTTCTGCATATGTAGTGCTGTGTATCAAACTTTCAGCCTTGTGGATAGTGGATGAGCACTCTACCATTCAGCCTTATCTCTGGCTCTGTGAAGACACCAAATCTGTCAGATCTTTGTGAGAGAGTACACAGCAGAAGAGGAGGGGAATCTTCCCAGTGATTAAGGTAACACAGTGAATAAGGTAAGTAGGGGAGGAACGGCTGGCTCTCCCCTTGCTCCTGTCAGGCAGGCTCTTAGAAATGCCATTTCCAGAACACAAGTGACAGGGCAGTAGTTTAAGAGCCTACAACCTACTCTATCATAGATCCTCTTCAGAAATAAGTTGGGAGGTGAGCCAGTCTGTGAATACCACTGCTGAGAATCAGAAGTGGAGCTGGGTGCCAGTGGCTCATGCCTGTAATCCTATCTACTCAGGAGGCTAAGATCTGAGGAACATGGTTCAGAGCCAGCTTAGACAGGAAAGGGGATGAAACTCTTATCACCAATTAACCACCAGAAATCCAGAAGTGATACTGTAGCTCAAAGTGGTAGAGCACTAGCCTTGAGCAGGAGATCTCAGGGACAGTACACAGGCCCCGAGTTCAAGCCCCATGACCAACCAAAAAGAAAATCAGAAGTGAAGTGGGGAAGGGGAGGGGTGGAAGGGTGACTCAAGTAAAGTAGGTAGCATATGCTTCTGTTTTGGTTTGGTTTTGATGCTGTGAATTGAACTCAAAGCTTCATATTAAGTGTGTGCTCTACCATTCAGCTACATTACCAGCCCCTAAATTCCTATTTTTGTGAGTTTTTTTTTTTGGTCCGGTCGTGGGGCCTGAACTCTGGGCCTGGGCGCCGTCCCTCAGCTCTTCAGCTCAAGGCTAGTGCTCTACCACTTGAACCACAGCACCACTTCCGGCTTTTTTCTTATGTGGTGCTGAGGAATCAAATTCAGGGCCTCTGGCATGCAAAGCAAGCGCTCTACCACTGAGCCACCTTCCCAGCCTCTTTTGTGAGGTTTTATTAGAACACAGTCTTCCTTATTGTCTTTTTACTACAGTGTAGTTAAGTAGTTGATACAGACTAGGGCCTAAAAATATTACCAACTGGCTCTTTATAGAAAGTTTGCCAACTTCTAGCATAGGTTAAATGTAATGTGTCCGCCGATTCTCCCATTTTGTTACTGTGGAACTTTCCTTTATAGCTGAATCTAGAAAAAATAAATGGAATCAGTTTGCTTCTGAATTTCTTTTTTCCTAACATTAAATTCACCAAGACAGTATATTCACCAAGTGGGCTATGCATACAGAAGGAACTATATTTTATATGTTTCATTGTAGTTAACTCATTTATTCTCTATGATTCTTCCATTTCTTTCTTTCTTTCGTTTTTTTTTTTTTTTTGGTCAGTCGTGGGGCTTGAACTCTGGGCTTAGGAGCTGTCCCTCAGCTTTTCAGCTCAAGGCTAGTTAGTGCTCTACCACTTGAGCCACAGTGCCACTTCTGGTTTTCTGGTGGTTTATTGGAGATAAGAGTCTCATAGACTTTGCTGCCCGGGCTGGCTTTGATTCTTAGATCTCAGCCTCCTGAGTAGCTAGTTTTATAGGCATGAGCCACTGGCCCCCGGCTAGATTCCCCTATTTCTTTGTTCTTTTCCGAATGACTTCGAAAACTTTATTCATTCATAAGTATCCAGAAAATTGTAACTTATGTTTTCTTTTTAAAAATTTCCCTTCATTTCATATTTAGTAGCTTATGTTAATTGTACCTTTATTTTATTTTATTTTATTTTTGCTAGTCCTAGGGCTTGAATTCAGCCTGGCATTGTCCCTGAGCTTCTTTTGCTTAGGGCTAGCACTATACCACTTAAGCCACAGTGCCCCTTCTGGCTTTTTCTGTTATGTAGTACTGAGGAATCGAACCCAGGGCTTCATGCATGCTAGGCAAGCACTCTACCACTATGCCACATTCCCAGCCTGTACCCTGATTTTAATGTACTTCACTCCTCTGTCATTTCTTTTCTCTTTTTTTCTTTTTCTTTTTTTTTTTGTCAGTCACGGGGCTTGAACTCTGGTCCTTCGCACTGTCCCTGAGCCTTCAGTTCAAGGCGAGTGCTCTACCACTTGAGCCACAGCACCACTTCTGGTTTTCTTGTGGTTAATTGGAGATAAGAGTCTCACAGACTTTCCTGCCCAGCTTCTTCTGTCATTTCTATAGAAGTTTTAACCTTTCTGGGAAAAAGCTACGTTAGAATGTTCTTTTTCTTCCTTTCTTTCTTTCTTTCTTTCTTTCTTTTTTTTTTTTTTTTTTTGTGGGTCATGGGGCTTGAACTCTGGGCCTGTGTGCTGTCCCTCAGCTCTTCAGTTCAAGGTAAGTGCTCTACCATTTGAGTCACAAGCACCACTTCCGGTGGCTCAGTGGTAGAGCGCTTGCCTTGCATGCCTGAGGCCCTGGGTTCGATTCCTCAGCACCACATAAGCAAAAAGAAAAAAAAAGCCAGAAGTGGCGTTTTGGCTCAAGTGGTAGAGCGCTAGCCTTGAGCTGAAGAGCTGAGAGACAGCGCCCAGGCCCAGAGTTCAGACCCCATGACTGGACCCCCCCCCCAAAAAAAAAAAAAAAAAAAGTATCACTGACTTTCCTTCCCTGGCTGGCTTTGAATCGTGAATCTCAGATATCAGCCTCCTTAGTAGTTAGGATTATAGGCATGAGCCACTGGCTCCTGGCACTATTTTTCCATTTTCTATTTTCTTTTGTTCTCAGGGCAATATGAGATGCTTAGCTTATTTATTTGATGCTTTTTATTGAGCATCTACTATGAGTTCTCACACTGTGTGCTCTCTCTCACTAAATCTTTACCAAAAACCAGAGTTTCCATCTTATTATATTTTTTATTTTATTTATTTATTTAATTATTTTTTGGTCAGTTGTGGGGACTGAAAGCTGGGCCTGGGCGCTGTCCCTCAGCTCTTCAGCTGAAGGCTAGCACTCTCCTACTTGAGCATCAGCCCCACTTCTGGCTTTTTCTGCTTATGTGGTGCTGAGGAATTGAACCCAGGGCCTCATGCATGCAAGACAAGCGCTCTACCACTGAGCGACCTTCCCAGCCCCTTTTATTTTTTAAATTTATTTTTTTCTGCCGGTCATGAGGCCTGAATTCTGGGCCTGGGCGCTGTCCCTCAGCTCTTCAGCTCAAGGCTAGCGCTCTACCATTTGAGCCACAGCACCACATCCGGCTTTTTCTGCTTATGTGGTGCTGAGGAATCGAACCCAGGGCCTCGTGCATGCAAGGCAAGCACTCTACCACTTAGCCACCTTCCCAACCCCTCATCTTATTTTAAAAATGAGTCTTAGAATGCATAAATAGCTTTACCAGAGCAGTACATTTTACTGTTGTGGTTTGGATTTTTGTTTTGTTTTGTGGTGCTTCAGATCCTATCTAGGGCCTTGTATAAGCTAGATACTAGATTGTTGTTTCTATATTATCCAGGCTGGTCTCAAACTCTTGATCTCATTTGATCAACTTGCCTCATCCTCCCCTATGTTGCTACTACAGGGGCATACCCTGCTTCTTTTAGGTCTTAAATGTCTCCCAAAGCCCCATGTGGTAAAGGTTTGGTTCCCAATTGTAATGCTGTTGGGAGATGATAGAATCTTTTTGAGATAGGACTTTGTAGAGGAAGTTTAGAGATACTAATAAAATTGATCCTCAAGGGCTGGGAATGTGGCTTAGTGGTAGAGTGCTTGCCTAGTATGAAGCCCTGGGTTCAATTCCTCAGTACCACATAAACAGAAAAGGCCTGAAGTGGAGCTTTGGTTCAACTTGTAGAGTGTTAGCCTTGAGCAAAAGAAGCCTAGATACAGTGCCCAGGCCCTGAGTTCAAGCCCCAGGACGACAAAAGCAAAAGGAAACAAAAAAAAGCCAGCTACTAGTGGCTTATTCCTATAATCGTAACTACTCAGAGGACTGAGATCTGAGGATCACGGTTCAAATCCACCTCGGGTTAATCTCCAATTAACCACCAAAAATGAAAATGAAAAAGGAGGCGGAGGAGGAGGAAGAGGAAGGAGAAGGAGAAGAAGAAGAAGAGAAGGAGGAGCAGGAGGAAGAAGAAGAAGAAACTGTGGACTTGTAGCTCACCCCTGTAACCTAGCTACTCAGGAGGCTGAGATCTTACGATGATTGAGGTTCAAAAACCAGTCCCAGTAGCAAAGTCTACAAACTCTTATCTTTAATTAATTAACCCAAAAGTTGGAAGACAAAGTGTGACTCAATTGGTACAGAGCACTAGCCTCCAGCACAAAAGCTCAAGGACAGTGCTTAGGCCCTGAGTGAAAGTGTCAGACTGGAAAAAAAAAAATGCCCAAGATCCTCAGACCTCAACCTCCTGAGTAGCTAGGATTACAGCTGTGAGCTACCACCCACTGATTTTCTTTCTTTTTTTTTTTTTTTCAATTTTAGAAATTTTTCTTTTCTCCTTTTTTTTTTTGGGGGGGGGGGGGTTCAGTCGTGGAGCCTGAACTCTGGGCCTGGGCGCTGTCCCTCAGCTCTTCAGCTCAAGGCTAGCACTCTACCACTGGAGCCACAGCGCCACTTCCGGCTTTTTTCTTTTTGCTTATGTGGTGCTGAGGAATCGAACTCAGGGCCTCATGCATGCAAGGCAAGCGCTCTACCACTGAGCCACCTTCCCAGCCCCTCTTTTCTCCTTTTAACTTGCTTATAATGGTTATTTCATTCCACTATTGGAAAAGTGACTGATACAGGCAGCTCTGCTCTGCTCTTCCTTGTGGCTTAACATAGGTCAAAAGGGACAGACAGCTTGGGCTGAAACTTCTGAAACTGTGATACCTAAATCTTTTTTCCTTTTAACTTGTTTGTGCCAGTTATTTTGTTCCAACGCTAGATAAGTGACTAACACTATCACTTGGCTAACTAGTGGTAGAGTTGGTACTTAAAAGTATAATTCATGCTCCCATTTTCTTTCTTTCGTTTTTTTTTTTTTTTTTGTCAGTCATGGGGCTTGAACTCTGGGCCTGGGCACTGTCCCTGCGCTCTTCAGCTCAAGGCGAGTGCTCTACCGCTTGAGCCACAGCGGTACTTCCGGTTTTCTGGTGGTTTATTGGAGATAAGAGTTTCAAGGACTTTCCTGCTTGGGCTGGCTTTGAACCGTGATCCTCAGATCTCAGCCTCCTGAGTAGCTAGGATTATAGGTGTGAGCCACTGGCACCTGGCTAATGTTCCCATTTTCTTTTCTTTTTTTCCCCCCTCAAATCTCAGCCTCCTGGGTAGCTAGAATTACTGATGTGAGCCACCATCACCAGGACCTTTCTTATTTTTTATGGTGCTGGAGTTGAATCTAGAATCTCATTCCTGCTAAGCACATACCTTACCAACTGAGTTATGCTTCTATGTCTTCCTTTCCCTTTGCTTTTTCCTTTCCCTTTCCTCACACATGCTTATCCTCTTGTAGGATTCATTACCACTGAGCTACACCCCCAATCACCATTCTTTTTTTGTTTGTGGTACTGAGCATCAAACACAGGGTATCTTTTTGAACCTTGCTCCTGAGGATCTCAGCCTCCTGAGTACCTAGGATTAATAGGAGTGAGACACACAAGCTATGCTGTTTGGCCTTTTTTCTTTTCCTTTTTTTTTTTTTTTGTCAGTAGTAGGGCTTGAAGTCTGGGCCTGGGCACTGTCCCTTAGTTCTTCAGTTCCAGGCTAGTGCTCTACCACTTGAACCACAGTGCCACTTCCGGCTTCCTGGTGGTTTACTGGGGATAAGAATTTCAAGGACTTTGCTGCCCAGGCTGGTTTTGAACCATGATCCTCAGATCTCGGCCTCTTAAGTAGCTAGGATTAGAGGCAGGTGCCTGGCTCTGTTTGGCCCTTGTTGTTGCTGTTTTTACTAAATGTCATTTGTGGGGTTTGAACTCAGAATCTAGAACCTGTCTCTTAGCTTTTTTTTTCTTATTTATTTTTATTGTTATTATAAAGGTGATGTACAGAGGGGTTACAGTTATATGAATACATTTCTTTTTTTGCAATTTTTTATTGTGATTAAGTGATTACATAAATTTCACAGTATTGTGGGATAGTGATGCTTAGTTAAAGTCACAAACACATTCTAACTTTCATGGGGCAAATTGTCTTTATCGTGGTCTATAAAGTTTATGAGGTCTATGAGCTTTGACAAGTTATTTCTTCCACATCAGGTACATTTCTTTCCTTTTGCTTAGTGTCAGCTATTCCCTCTTTCCTGTTCATTCCGTCCTTCCCTCCCATCGCCGCCATTGAGTTGTTTAGTTCGTTTTGATCAATGTCCAGTGCAGCTGATGGGTCCCACTGTTGTATGTTTTCCCGTTTCCCTCTGTTTCTGTGTCCCCCTCCTAGTTTCCCTCCGATGTACACATATGTACCATATATGTGATCAGCAGCATGTGGTCATTTAGTAATGATTGGGCCATATGAGTGGAGGTCCTTTGTTTCTCAAGTCTTGTTTACTTTGTCATATCTCCTTACGTTTTGAGTTTAACATCCACTTATCAGGGAGACCATGTGCTGTTTGTCTCTTTGCTCTTGGCTTACCTCACTCAACATGATTTTTTCTAGTTCCATTCATTTCCCTGCAAATACCATTATTTTATCCTTTCTAATGGCTGCATAATATTCCATTGTGTATAGGTACCACAATTTTTGGATCAATTCATGGGGGGTGGGGGCATCTGGGTTGTTTCCATATCCTGGCTATTGTAAACAGTGCTGCAATGAACATGGAGGTGCACGTGTCCTTGTATATTGGTTCCTGTTGTTCAGGGTAGATGCCTAGAAGTGGTATGACTGGGTCATAAGGGAGGTCAATATTTAGCTTTCTGAGGACCCTCCAGATTGCTTTCCAAAGTGGTTGTATTAGTGTTCATTCCCATCAGCAGTGTAATAGGGTTTCTCTTTGTCTGCATCTCCTCCAGCATTTGTCATTGGCTGACTTTAGGATGTGGACATTCTGACTGGGGTAAGGTGGTATCTCAGGGTTGTCTTTATTTGCATTTCCTTTACAACCTTTGTTAGCTTTTTAAAAAACTGGTCCTGCAGCTTGAACTCAGGACCTGGACTCTGTCCCTAAGCTTCCCCACCTCCCCCCCATTCCTGGGGCTTGAACTCTAGAGACTGGGTGCTGTTCAGAGCTTTTTTGTGCTCAAGGCTTTCTCTCTACCTCTTTGAACCATAGCTCCACTTCCTATTTTCTGGAGATTAATTGGAGATAAGAGACTCACAGACTTTTCTGCTGCTGGCTTTGAACTGTGATCCTCTGACTCACCTCCTGAGTAGCTAGGATTACAGGCTTCTTTCCTGTTTTACATGGTCACACTGTTCATCTTTTTTGTCATAGGCTCATCTGTTTCTAATTCGTTTCCTCTTTAGATAAGTCCTCAAGCTGTTATTACATTTCTCAGTTAAAAGTAAAAGGTCCAGAAGTGGCACTGTGACTCCAGTGGTAGAATACTATTAGCCTTGAGCACAGAGAGCCTCAGGAACAGTGCCTAGGCTTTAAGTTCAATTCCCTGGACTGGCAAAAAAAATTTTTTTTTTAAGTTAAGATCTTAACTAGGCACCAAAGGCTCATGCCTATATTCCTAGCTGTTTAGGAGGTTGATATGAGGCTTGCAGTTGGAAGCCAGTGTAGGCAAAAAAAAAAAAAAAAACATGAATTTTTTTTATTTTTTAAGGTTGTGGGGCTTTAACTCTGGGCCTAGGTGCTATCCCTCAGCTCTTCAGCCCAAGGTTAGCACTCTACCACTTGAGCCACGGCGCTACTTCTGGTTTTCTGGTAGTTTATTGGAGATAAGAGTCTATGGAGGGCTGGGAATGTGGCTTAGTGGTAGAGTGCTTGCCTAGCATGCATGGGTTCGATTCCTCAGTACCACATAAACAGAAAAGCCGGAAGTGGTATTGTGGTTCTAGTGGTATGGCACTAACCTTGAGCAAAAGAAGCTCAGGGATAGTGCCCAGGCCCTGAGTTCAAGCCCCAGGACTGGCAAAAACAAAACAAAACAAGAGTCTCATGGGTTTTCTTTCTCTGTCTGGCTTTGAACCGTGATCTTCAGATCTTAGCCTCCTTATTAGCTAGGATTATAGGCATGAGCCACCTGTGCCTGCCCCCCCCAGGAGATTCTTTAATTAACTAAATTCAATTAACTAATTCAATTAATCAAAAAAGCTGTAAGTAAGACTGTGCCTCAAGTGGTAGATTGCTAGCCTTGAGCACAACAGTTCAGGGACAGTGCCTAGGCCCTAAGTTCAAATCCCAGGATGGGCACAAAAAAATGTTGAAATTCTTTTTGTTGTGGCATTGTTGGCATTTATCCAGGATGTGTGGTACACACAGCAGATTTCTGTTCTTTTGTTTCCTTATGATTGTTTTATGATTATGCATATAAGGAGTTTCACAGACTTTCCTGCCCAAGCTGGCTTTGATCTGCAATCCTCAGATCTCAGCATCCTGAGTTGCTAGGATTACAGATGTGAACCACAGGCATCCAACCATAGATCTTTTTTCATGACTGTGATGTGTCATTATCTTTGTTTTATTTTCTTGTTCAGAGCTCCTATGTTTGCATTCTCCACCAGCATGTGCTCTACCTTGCTTAAGCCCTTAAGTGAATGTTTAGCTAAAACCACTGTTCCAAAGTCAAGGTAGTAGGGGGCCTCGTTTTTGATAATTTTCTCTATCTATCCCTAAATTTGGCCTGCAGGATTTGGAGGAATCAGTCTTTCTACTGACATCTTGAAATGTGAGCTGGACAAAGGAAATGGTATCCCACTCAGTCAGGTAAGTAATTATTGACCATGAAAATAAAACATTTTTCTTTAGTCTTTTTGTTCTATTTGCATTTAATAGTTTTTCTCATAGTGAACCAACTCATTTTTTTTTTAGAAAAAGGTATTCTACTTCTTGGGGTGTTTTTGTTGCTAAATTTGCTACTTACAATTTTGTTTTCTATTTCATTTACTAGTATTTTCTTTCTAGGTTGAAAAGTGAATTTTGGGGGACAGGATAGCACTTTGTCAATTGTTTATCTTAGGGCTATTAATGAACTTTGTTTGCCTACTATTTTAAAGTAAGTAAGTCTCAATTATGTGCCATGCTGTTAAATATACACTAATAACTCTATTTCAGAATTGGCATATAATGCCAGGCATAGTGGCATAAGGTTATAGTCTTAGCTAATCAGGAGTATGAGATGGGGAGGATCATACATGGAGGCCAGTCCAGGCACAAGTATAGCTTTTTTTTTTTGCCAGTCCTAGGGCTTGAACTCAGTGCCTGGGCACTGTCCCTGAGCTTCTCTTTGCTCAAGGCTAGCACTCTACCACTTGAGCCACAACACCACTTCTGGCCTTTTCTGTTTATGTGGTACTGAGGAATCGAACCCAGGGCTACATGCATGCTAGGCAAGCACTCTACCACTAAGCCACATTCCCAGCCCCACATATTTTTCTTTTTCTTTTTAATTTGCCAGTTAGAGAAACAAAAATAAAATGGTCTCCTTTTATTTTATTTTTTTCTGTTTTTCATGGGGCTTGAACTCTGGGCCTAGGTGCTGTCCCTGAGCTCTTCAGCTCAAGGCTACAAACTGCCACTTGAGCCACAGCATCACTTCCAGCCTTTTCTGTTTATGTGGTACTGAGGAATTAAATCCAGGGCTTCATGCATGCTAGGCAAGCGATCTACCACTAAGCCACATTCCCAGCCTTCCTTTATTTTTTTCTTCCTCTTTTTGTTTTCTCCTTCCTTCCTTCCTTCCTTCCTTTCTTCCTTCCTTCCTTCCTTCCTTCCTTCCTTCCTTCCTTCCTTCCTTCCTTCCTTCTTTCTTTCTTTCTTTCTTTCTTTCTTTCTTTCTTTCTTTCTTTCATTCTTTCTTTCTTTCTTGTGTGTGTGTGTGTGTGTGTGTGTGTGTGTGTGTCTGTTTGTACTGGGGCTTGAACTCAAGACCTGGGAGCAGCCATCCCTTAGGCTTTTCACTCAAGGCTGGCATTCTACCACTTGAGTCACAGTGCCACTTCTGGCTTTGTCTGAGAAGTTTATTGGAGATAAGTACCATGGACTTTTCTGCCTAGGCTGGCTTTGAACCACAGTCCTCAGATCTCATCCTCCTGAGGAGCTAGGATTACAGGTGAAAGCCACCAGCACCTTCTCCACCAACACCGACTCCCACCCTCATCCCCTTTTTTTTTCAAAGACAATCTTGCTCTATAGCCCAGACTAGTCTTACTGTCTCAGTTCTCCAGTGGGAATACCATCAGGCACCACCTGCTTTTTGTAATAAAAAGACAAGTATGTTTTCCTGTGCTTTCTCATTTATGCTAATTCTTACTATTTTATTTTTATTTTATTTGGTTGGTCGTGGGGCCTGAACTCTGGGCCTGGGGGCTGTCCCTCAGCTCTTCAGCTCAAGGCTAGTGCTCTACCACTTGAGCCACAGTGCCACTTTCAGCTTTTTCTGCTTATGTGGTGCTGAGGAATCGAACCCAGGGCCTCATGCATGCAAGGCAAGCACTCTACCACTGAGCCACCTTCCCAGCCCCAATCCTGCATATTCTTGTTTTTCCTCTCTGCATCTTCTATTGCTTATGCTTAAGCTTCCCTATTTTTAGCTCTTAAAATCTTTCATGATTCCTACAATCAGTGATTTTTTTTAAATCTTCTGTCCATTCATTTCAGCTTTTAAGTTTCTGTTCCTCCATTTTACCCTATTACCCTATTTTTAATTGAATCTAATTTTATCACCTTATGATCTCTTCTGTCATGACAATTCAGGCTATTGAGTAGTTGGTCACAAGAGGTTTTTTTTTTTTTTTTTGTCGGTTGTGGGGCTTGAACTCTAGGCCTGGACGTTGTCCCTGCACTCTTCAGCTCGCTCAAGGCCAGCGCTCTACCGCTTGAGCCATAGCGCCACTTCCGGTTTTCTAGTGGTTTATTGGAGATAGGAGTCTCACGGATTTTGTTGCCTCTCCGGACTGGCTTTGAACCACAATCCTCAGATCTCAGCCTCCTGAGTAGCTAGGATTACAGGCAGGAGCCACTGGGCACCTGGCACAAGAATGTTTTCTTACTCAGGCTTCGCCCCTCCCTCCCCCACCTTTGTGGGGCTTGAACTCTGGGCCTGAGTGCTGCTCTTCTGCTCAAGGCTAGCACTCTACCACTTGAGCCACAGCTCCACTTCCAGCTTTGTCTGTTTACGTGGTGCTGAGGACTTGAACCCAGGGCCTCATGCATGCAAGGCAAGCACTCTACCACCGAGCCACCTTCCCAGCCCACTTAGGCTTATTTATTTAAGTACAGGTTTTTCTCTTTTTTCCTCCTTCTTTTTTTTTTTTTTTTTTTTTTTTTTTTTGTGTCTTGTTCTTGTTGTTGCTAGTCTTGGGACTTAAAATAAGGGCCGGTGTGCTATCCCTGAGCTTTTTTGCTCAAGGCTAGCACTCTGCCACCTGAGCCAGAACTCCACCTCCATCTTTTCCGGTGGTTAATTGGATATAAAAAGTCACTCAGACTTTACTGCCTGGGCTGACTTTGAACCTTGATATTCAGATCTTAGCCTCCTGAGCAGCTAGGATTATAGGGGTGAGCCACTAGCATCTGACTTCAACTTTTCTTTTTCTTTCTTTTTTGTTTTTATTTTTGTTGGTTGTGGGACTTGAACCCCTGGCCTGGGCTCTGCCCCTGAGCTCTTTTTGCTCAAGGCTAGTGCTCTAGCACTTTGAGCCACAGCTCCACTTCTGGTTTTTGAGTGGTGAATTAGAGATGTGCCACAGGGACTTTTCTACCCAGGCTGGGCTTTCAACCCCAATCCTCAGATCTCAGACTCCTGAGTTGCTAAGATTACAGGCATGAGCGAGCCATCAGCTAGCTCCAACTTTTCTTTCTTTACTTCTTTTTCTCTTTCTCTTTCTTTCTTTCTGTCTTTCCCTCTCTTTCTCTTTTTCCTTATTTTTTTTTTTTTAAGTCTGTCATGGGGCTTGAACTCTGGGCCTGGGTGCTTTCCCTCAGCTCTTAAGATATAGGCGAGAGCTCTACCACTTGTGCCACAGTGCCCCTTCCAGTTGTCTGAGTGGTTTATTGGAGATAATTGGAGTCTCAGAGTCTCAGGGACTTTCCTGCCCGGACTGTCTTTGAACTGCAATACTCAGATCTCAGCCTCCTAAGTAGCTAGGATTGTAGGTGTGAGTCACGGATGCCAGTTTGTTGTTGTTGTTGTTTGTTTTTGTTTTGCTTTGTCAGTTGTGGGGCTTGAGCTCCTGTCCTGGGTGCTGTCCCTGAGCTCTGTAGCTCAAGGCTACCACCTGAGCCATAGTGCCCGTTTTTCTGGTGGTTAATTGGACATAATTCGAGTCTTAATGGACTTTCCTGCCTGGTCTGGCTTTGAACAGTGATCCTCAGATCTCTCCGCCTCCTCAGTAGCTAGGATTACGGGTGTGAGCCACCAGTCCCCAGCTTCAAGTTTTCTTTAGAAAGCATTTGAATGTAGGTGGCATTGACATTGTTCATTTCATTCTGTGTGTGTGTGTGTGTGTGTTTATCTTTAAAATTGCTTGTTGCAAGAGCTACCAAGTCTTTCAGGGTCACCTTCTTATTGTTAAAAGTTTGTGGTTTTTTTTTTTTTAATCTTTTTTTTTGGTATAGAATCTTGTTAAATATAGCGAGAGCTGGCCTGGGAATCAAGGTATTGCTGTCTCAACCTCCTGAGTATTTAGAGTTACATAGGCAGCCACCATACCTGGCTTAATGGATGTATATTCTGCTTTGATTCAACATGCTAGTGTGTATAGGCTATTTTTTGGGGGAGTCCGGTCGTGGGGCCTGAACTCTGGGCCTGGGCGCTGTCCTTCAGCTCTTCAGCTCAAGGCTAGCGCTCTACCACTTGAGCCACAGCGCCACTTCCGCCTTTTTTCTTTTTGCTTATGTGGTGCTGAGGAATCGAACCCAGGGCCTCAGGCATGCAAGGCAAGAGCTCTACCACTGAGCCACCTTCCCAGCCCCGTGGAATTACTTTTAATAGACCAAATTCGAATTCCTAAGAGCACAGATTTACTACTGTAGGCCTGTCCTATTGAAGTTTAATTACTTATATACAAACAGGGGTTCATAGACCTTTATTCTTGTATTCTGTTATTAATAGGAGGATTATATTGAGTCCCTGTTGGCTTTTACTTTGCTAGTTTCTTAGAGCTTCTGATATAGCCATTCACAACTGCTGACTTCTTCACCCTTTGTTTCAGGAATTGCAAATACTTGCAGGATGCAGATGGGGTAAATGTGTGAGATGGTTCTGGTATTCATGTTCTTTTTCTTCAAAAGCTATTTTTATTTTTTCCTTCTTGCTTTACTTCTCTTGTTTATCTACCTTTGATAAAGACATTCATTAAAAAAAGAAAATTATCTACTCTGCAATGTACAGGAGAGTATAAATGTGATGATAAGTGAAAACTAGTATTTCTGCATGGGCAATGGGGACAGTCAGGTCTGTGGTCCAGTAGAACCTGTATGATCCATCCAGAGGAAAGGCTTTTACTATTTACCTATTGCTAAATTGTTGCCTAGTGTCAATGTGGGCCTAGGATTTCTGGCTTTCCACAAATGATGTGAGAGGCTTCTGTTTTATTTCAAATTCTTCAGGGGAACAATACTTAGAATGTCATAGCTTCTCCTTTTTGGTAAATTTGGCTCTTACCAAAACATGGAGTTATCTTAGCAATACTCAGCTTGGGGCTTGGTTTCCCTTTGACAATGTTTAGAACTAGGCCTCCAGGTTTTGAATGGAGTTGGATAAA